GGCTACCTTAGAGAATTAGATATGAGTCCCATGTGTTTTCTCTGATAAGTAAGTAGTAGATCAGCTTATAATGCAACCCTTTCTTTGAACAAAAATTGGCTAATTTGTTTTAAATGACAGGAAAAGCTGAAACCCTAAAGTCATTGTTTTAAAAATGTTCCATTTATTTCATGCAATATGCCTCTGTTTTTATATAATAATTCTAAGTATTATGCTACCATTTTAATAAAGGGCAAATAAATCTCAACCCAATTTTAAAGATATATATTAAGTACATTTATTAATTCATTTAACAATACCATATGCTATCTTTGACAATGAACTTCATTTTGGTACATAGCGCATTTGTGTTTTGGTATTGAAATGAAGAAAGATACATTGCACCTGAAAATCTGCCTTAAGTGATTAAAACCATGGTCAATGAGAGTGACAGATTTCAACCAATTAGCAAAGCCAAAATGTTCTAGAGTTATTCTGTTCATTTATAATAAAAAAATTAAACAGGATTAATACTCAACAGGAGAGAATAGTTAATCTCAACAATTTAAAACAGTTCTCTCTTTAAGACAGCAGATTATTTTCACAATACATTTGAAAGGAAACAGTATTTAAAAATGTGAGATTCCAATGTGAACAAACTTTCAGCAGTAACATTTTAAATATGAATTACCTGTCCCTGTGGTATAGCCACCTTTTATAAGATGGTGTGAAGTCGATCACACTAATCCACACACATAATGATTATCATCTCCAAGTTATTCCCCATTTATCAACTTAACGTCTTATTAATTTATACAATTATTTAACAAAGATTACAAATAAAACCTCAAGACTCAAGCCAAAAGGTAGCTGCATTTCTCTCTATAACAAAACATGGCTTTCAAATTTGCACACATTGCATTAATGAAGAGACAAAAACTATATTCCTTTCCATCACCAAAAGATAAACTCATCACATACACAAACACCTAAAAAATCAAAAGTGTTTTCAGGGAGCAAAGAAAGATATCAGAGGCCCCCAGGTGTGAGTAAAACCTCACACAATACCCGTGCCCTATGTGGGTAAGGCACAGTCCAGACACACACACACACACACACGAAATAAAAGCTCCTAGAAACACTGCTCTTATTCATTTAAGATATTTTTTGTGCTACATTTAGAAATGGATTTTTAAATTTTAAAGCAGAAAACTGTGAAAATATCAGGTAGAATACTTATTGTTTTATGATATGATTTAACAATTCAAGACAGATCAATTAAAACTCTATTCCCTTGCCTTTACAGATCTCTTTCCTTTGCTGAATACCCACAAGCCAAAGGCCCATTCTGGCAACATTACCCTCGGCTACACAGCAGGACTGCAAAGGCCCTGGTTAGAAGGAGGAGCAGGGCCTCTGGCCTAAGCTCTCACCCAGCAAGCTTGGGTCTGAGCATGTCACGTGACCATTCTGTTTCCTTGGTCATCAAATGAAAAGACTGAGCCATGCCCCACATGGCCTCCCATAGCACTATCATTTTAGGATTTTCTGACTTGAAGTTTTCATTAGAAACAGCTTTGATTCAATATTACACTCTACCCAGGATGCTGACTAGTAATTTGCATCTGGATAGAGAAAAGCTTTCTGTAGCTAGGTTACCTGTTGGGATTTATTAAACATATGGGCGGTGGGGGTCGGGGGTGTCCCACTCTTGGTGGATTAAAAGTGGCTGCAAATTCTTTGAAATTGACTCATAAAAAGGAGGCAACTCGTTTCCCACCCCTTGGTTCTGGACTAACTTTATGACTCCTTTTGGCTCATAAAATGGTGTGGAAGTGAAATTATGTAACTTCTAAGCAAGTAGAAGAAAGGTATTGCAGTATATTTAATCTCAGCCTGGGCTAGTTCTGGGGAATAGTCAAATGCAGTGGAAATGTAGGCAATTTGGCCCACAGTCCCAGCCCACTATAAGACATATGCATAAGACCATCTGTGTTAGTTTTCCATCAGTATAACAAAATACCTGAGATAATCAACTTATAAAGAGAAAAGGTTTACTATAGCTCATTTTGTGAGGTTCCAGGCCATCAATTGGTCATTGCTTTGGGGTCTATGGTGAGGCAGGATACCACAGCAGGAGTAGATGGTGAAACAAAAGTGCTCAACTGATGGCTAGGAAGAAAAAGAGGAAGGACTAGGGCCTCACAGTCCCTCTCAAGGACATACTCCTATGACTTAAGGACCTTCTACAAGGTTCCACCTCTCAAAAGTTTCCACCATTGTCCCAGTATTATCACTCTGGGGATCAAATCTTTAACACATGGGTCTTCAGAGGTTTTCAAGATTCAAACTGCAGCACCACCCAAGATCAAGCAGCCTCCACCAACTGCTCACTAACCACAAATGTGGGGCAGTGGTGGGTCACATCAGCTTAATTCTGCCCCAACCGACAACCTGTAGGGTCGGGAGCAAAAAAATTTAGGGGGAGGTTGTTGGGCAACAATAAACAGCTGGAATTCTCCTCTGTGTCAGAACTATGTTAGGTAAAGGGATATCCTCCTGGGTACCAAGACATCCTTATTCTGCAGATGCTCAGCTTCTAGGTTGGGAGACAGTCTGGAGGCAGAGCAATTTCAAAGGAATGCCATTGGTACTATAATGGGGTTGGGGTGGGACTTACTCAAGGTTTGTAGGAATTCAGAGAAGGGGCATGAATGCCAGAATTAGGAAACTGGCAAAGGCTTCTCAGAGGAGATAATATGTAAGGGGTGGGTTAATAAGAAGAAAGATATTCCTGGGTAAAGAAGGAGATAGAACATTCTAGGAAAGAGAAACAGCAGGTGCAAACCCTGAAGAGAGTGAGATGCGGACGTGGGACACAGGAGCATTCACTGTGACTCATGTATGAGGACACTGGGGTGGGTGGAGGAGTGGCTAACATAAATCTCTAGTGGCCTTCAGAGACCCTCTGGCATTTGGCCTTTAAACTGAGGGTGATGAGAACCAAAGAAGAAAACCTGTTCTCCCTGCCTGCCTGCCTGCCTCCGCTCCCTGGCAGGAGGAGGCTGTATGGAGTACAGGTACTTCTCTGGTGCTCAGATTAGCTAACGGGAAGTTATATTTCCCAGGGTTCAAGATGGTGGGCCTTGGGATCTCAGTAAAATGTACAAGCAGCAGGTGAGAAGATGGCATTTTTTGAAAGGTGTTCTTTCTTCTCTTGTCAATTAATGAAGACCTGGAGAAACAAAGCATCTAAGACTCATCTTTAAAAGATGCTACAAGAAATGTTGTTAAAACCAGGTGGTAACCAACTACTATATATATAAATAGCTAATAAAAAATGGGAAAAAAACCCAGGTAGTATGTTTTCCTACTGACTAGTTGTGTGGTTTGGGCATATGACTAACCTCTTTACAAGTGGGTTTCCTCACGTGTACAATGGGGATAACGCTGGCCTTGACCTCACAGCTCATTAAAGACAAACATGTAAAGTCTTAGCATGGCACCTGGCATATGAGAGCTTCCAATATAAGGTCCCTAAATGGGGAAAGTTTGGAGGGGAGGGGTAACTCGGGCTTTAGCATGAAACTACCTGGTGTGTGAACTCAGGCTGTATGATGCAGTAGTTTTGGCAGCTGTTTGAGCTTAGAGAACATCTTCAGTCTTGCTCAGACTTAGTTTCCACATCTGAAAAATGTGGGTGGTGATATCTACCTCAAAAGACTGTGATGAGGAGTGAAGGAAATCATACATAGCAAATAACACAGCACAGAGCCCGACATGCAGTAGAAACGCACACACACGTGGAGGCAATCATCTTTCTCAAATATAGATTGACAATATTAATGCTAGACATTCAATATTACTTCAAAATCCTATCCTCTGACTACAGCTAGAAAAGTTGGATTACCAGGAAAAAAAAAAAAAAAAAATATATATATATATATATATATATATATATATATATATATATATATGTGTGTGTGTGTATAAAATCTTTAGCATGTTTTCCCATCCACTGGTACCAATGTATGGTGATAACCTATCACCAAGAAATGACTGAGGTACAACACTCTTACTTTGTTAGAGCATATTAAGAAAGCAATCTTGTTGTTTATGGGAAATGATAAAAAGAATTTAGCATTCCCAGACTCCCTCATTTGGCACTTTGAGGAACTACCTCTACATACCAAGACCCAAGATGTACTCTTTCCTAAACCAAAAAAGGAATCGTGCATATGTACAACGAAGATGAAAAATCCCTACCCCAGATGGCAATTTCAGTGAAAATAATCCCCCTAATGAGCAACATGTCATGTCCTTGGAATATGTTGCATTACAAGGCCAGTAACAATTTGGGCTTGAGAAAGCAATTCAGAGTTTCAAGTTTTATCACACAGAAGCTGAGTTCTAGAATATTTACCTTAAAAGTAGACACTTGCAAAGTAAACCCTTGCTGGAAGGCTTGATTTCGAGCTTCAAGTGTCGTCTATGCACAAACTTCTTCTATTCACATTCAATATATTTAGGATTAATTCTAGAACATGGTTATAGCTGATTTATAGAACCAAATGATTTAGGCTCAGTAAGAAGAATAATCACCTCAGTAAAAGATCATTATTTCCCTATTTACCTGCTCACAGCATGACAAGGTTTCTTTCTTTTTTTTTTTAAATCTAATGTTCTAATTAAGTTAAAAGTTGATATGAAGGCAGTAATTAAGAAATTTGTCATTTTATAATGGCTTTTAATTACTTCAATGCTTTAGAACCTTTTTGGAAATGCTGGTTAACAGGTCATATTCCTATGGATGTCACTTTCATTTGAAGCTTGGTGAAATCTAGACCCTCGATTAAACAATTCCCTGCTAATTTGGGTGAAAGTTTTTGTTTGTTTGTTGCTTTTGTTTTTTGAGATGGGATCATGCCTTGTGACCTTGGAATCCCTGGGCTCAAGCCATCTTCCTGCCTCAGCCTCCTATGTAGCTGGGACTACAAGTACATGCTACTGTGCCCAGCTTAAAAGTACAATTTAAAGTCTGTAACAACTAATGACTCCTAAAAGGGGAATTTTAGCATGTTGCTATTCTGGGTAGAAAAACATTTTAACAACTTTCTGCAAACTAAGATTTAAAAAAACGATGAATGAGAACTATACCTAGAAATCTAATAAGGCAATTCCATCATGTAGGAAAACTCTAGTTCCCAAATGTTTTCCACATTGACTTTTTAAAAGATGTGTTACCCGGTTCTTCCACATTCAAACAGTGTATGAAACTCAATTTTAGGATGTGTATGCACAAAGAAAAATTTCCTATGTCCAAAGCCATCCATTCGCATGAAGTGTTGTCATTGTGTTATTGTGTCACTCTGGTCACCCATGGGCCACCGGAGGCCTGAAGGGACAGCTGCTCAGCACTCTAACTCCTCCATGACTTCCATGACAATTGTCCGTGGGCCTGTCAGAATCAGATTGCTCACGGTCCGGTAGTCTACGTGCAGCACATTGAGCCCATTGACAGAGACGACGAACTGACAGACCTAAAGGAACAATGAAAAGAAAGAACATCAGTTATAGCTGCAAGGTTTTTACAGACCTTTCATAAAGATAGTGTGCAGCCATAACAGGTAAGTCATTCTTAAAATATCCATGCAAACCCACTGACAACTCCAATTCAACAATCTCCAAAAAGGCACATTTTTCCTGGCATTGTGATGGGAAAAAAACATGTATTTTATGTATTTATTTTCAGTACTGGGGACTGAACCCAGGGGTGCTCTACTGCTGAGCTACAATACTAGGCCCACCCCCTTTTAAATTGGGACAGGGTCTAAGTTGCCCTGGCAAACAATTTACAGTCTTCCGAATGCTTCATCCTCCTGAGTTCCTGGAATTACAGGTGTGCATCAATAATGTGCCTGGTGAAGAAGCATTTATTTTAGGGTTTCACAAAATTGGGATTAAATCCTAACTCAGAACCTTAAGCTAGGTTATTTAAATTTCTGAGCTTTATTTCCTTCAATTCTAAAATAGGGATGTTACCTACCTTATAAGGTTATTGCAAGAATTAAAGAAGGTGAAATACACAAAGCTTCGTTACAGTGCTCCAAACCTGTGGAGATGCAATGTCTCCTTACAGTCACTGTGTTTTTTTTTTTTAATGGCTGTAATTATTCATATGGACTCAGTAGACAAGAAGACCCTATGGTCCAGTGTTCCCTGAACAGTTCTCTTTTTATAAATATTGCTTCTACATGATTATTAATAGTGCTTCCTAGTGCTTCCTTCCATTTGTCAAGGGGTCTAGTCATTTTTTCCAGTATTGTGTATGGAACCCAGGGGCACTTTACCAAGAAAGCCACTTTACCAATCCCCAACCCACTCCTACTTTTTTTTTTAAGACAAAGTGTCCCTAAGTAGTTAAGGCTGGCCTCAAACTTGCAATCCTCCTGCCGTAGCCTCTGGAGTCACTGGGATTACAGGCATGTGCCATCACACCTGGCTGAAGTGTACCAGTTGTAATGATAAATTCTACACATCTCCCTACTTCCTATCCCCAGAAAAGTGGATGAGGCTAACAAAGGCTAACTTTTACAGTGAGTGGTAACCTATGGCAGGAGAGGGAACCACAAAACAATGACAAGCACCATTCATTTATGTGCGCCCACTCTGTATATATCAGTTAAGTTTGGTAAGTCTGTGCTTATTTGTTATAGCAGCAGTACTTATACATATTCAGTGCTGAATGAACTGAATAACTAAATGCATAAATAAAACAGCACAATTAGGATTGAGTTTGAAGGTCTTCTTGCTCCATATAAATCTCTCCTCTCACTGGGAAAATAAGAAAATAGGAAGAAGGAAAAGACAGCAAGCAGGAGAAGGGATAGAAACAGGGAGAAGGAAAGGAAGGATGGAAGATGGTTGAGATGGACTAATTGAGTGATGAGTCCCATATCTGTGGTTCTCATCATCCCACTCCTGTTAGTACAAGGCCTGAGTACCTAATGTGTGTTCCTGCTCCTAACTAGTTATTAATTAATTTAGTGTTGAAGAATTCAGCCAAACAATGTGGAAAATACAAAAACATTCTGAAACTACCATTTCCCTTTAGGTGTTTTCTGAGTGTGTGTTGTAGTCAGTTTTTTCATGGCTGTGACCAAAGATCTGACAAGAAAATTGGAGGAGGGAAAGTTTATTTGGGGCTCATGGTTTCAGAAGTCTCTGTCCACAGGTGGCTGACTCCATTCCTCAGGGCCCAAGATAAGGCAGGACATCATGGTGGAAGAGACGTGGAGGAAAGAGGCTCAGTCATGGTCACCAGGAAGTCGAGAGCTCTGCTCCACATCACAAAATATATACCCCAAAGGCATGCCCAATCACCCACCTCCTCCAGACACACCCCACCAACCCTAGTCACCTCTTAGTTAATACCTATTGTGGGACTGACCCACCAATTAGGTTAAAGCTCATAATCCAATCATTTCACCTCTAAACCTTCTTGTGTTGTCTCACCCATGAGCTTTGGGGGGGAGTGAGGTGACAGGACACCTCACATCTAAACAATAACAGTGGATAATTTAAATTTAAATTTAAACATTATATTAAGTCCCAAACAATCTATACCTACTACTTAGGTACACCAAGTTTGAAAGTATTAAAAGGTCAGTTCTGCCTCTGCAGAAAAGATGTGGGATTTAGAATCCAACAATAGATTGACATCCTTGGCCCCTTTGATGGATGACATTAATCAAATCACTTCTGTTCTTCTATGTCTCATGATATGTTTTAGTCATTTTTTCATTGCTGTGACTAAAAGGTCTTACCAGAACAATTTTAGGGAAGGAAAGTTTTATTTAGGGGCTCATGGTTTCAGAAGTCCAAATCCACAGACAGCAGACTCCATTCCTAGGGGCTCAAGATAAAGGCGGTTATCATGGTGGAAGATTGTGGCAGACGAAACCAGCTCACTTGATGATCAGAAAGCAGAGAGAGAGAGGACTCCACTTGCTAGATACAAAATATATCTCCCATAACCACACCTGCAGTGAACCATTTCCTCCAACCATACAGCACCTGCCTCAAGCCAACACCAGTTAATCCCATCAGAGACTAATTCCTCCTCAATCATTTCTCCTCCAGATCTTCTAGCATTGCTTCACACATGAGTTTTTTGGGACACTTCACATCCAAACAATAATATGATATGTCTTATTTTTAAAAGAGTTAGGTAAACATGCTTATCTTCACAGGTTCAGATTAGAGAATGCACTTAAAACCTCTTCCTTAACACCAAGCAATACAGTAGTGCTGGGTTCTATTCATTTTTTTTCCTTAAAAACACTCCCTTCAAGGTCACATACAAAACAGAATAGAAAGTGGAAGGTCATAAGCAGACTGTTTATTTACTCAGTGAACAGTTGCTATTTCTTCTTGGATTTTCTACTCCCCAATTTACATCACCAAGGTGTTTCACCTGCCCAACACCACCCCATGATCACCAGTTTTCCTGTTCCTTTTCATTAGTCTTTCCTCTTGGATTCAGGACATGTCTTATATAAAATCAGCAATTGTCAATCATGGTCAAGGTCAGAGTCATATTGGAGGTCATGCAGCAGGTCGTAATTCCACCCCAAGTGGGTCACAGTAATGCACAGGACAATTTAGCTCTAATTTCACATAGGCATTAGCCTGGGCTTTGTTTTTGTTTTTGTTTTTTTGGGTTTTTTCCTTCTGCAGAGCAGACTCTCCAGCCAAAGAATGGGAGGAATTTCATCCCCTCCATTACCAGAGAGTTGGTCTTTAGAGCTTGATTCTTCTTCCCTCTTTGTATTGCCAAATAATCCAATCATTTTGAAGGCAAGAGTTTCCAGGAAGTCCAGCTCCAGCTCACCCTTCACAGGTTCTCCAAGATTAAATGTGTCTCTACATGACATAGGGTCACATTCAGAATGAGTCATCACCACACTGGGTTTTGTCTATAGTTTGTTTTAATTGACCAACAACAAAAAAAAAATAGAAATTCTTCATATAAAATCCAGATTGGGGCCTCTCTTGGACAAGGAGAAGACCTGATCACACCATGCCTGGATGGCCACTGGACAGGGGCTGAGTAAGGGCAGCCCCTTCTCAATGGGGCATACGCCACCCTCTCGTTTGCCACCATAATTTCTACTTCCTAACTTATGCTTAGCTGATGGGCGTTTGAGTTTGAAATCCCCTATCTGGAACCAGCAAAGAAAAGAAGCCAAAGAGACAGCGGCTTGAAGCTTCAAGAACTGAAGGAGAAATGAAATGTGGAGTATCCATGCAATGGGATGTTATCCAGCCATAAAATGGAACAAACCACACGCTGTAACACGGATGAGCTTAGAAAACATATGAAGTGAAAGAAGCCAGTCACAACAGCCCAGAGAGAGAGGACTCCACTTGCCAGATACAAAATATATTCCCCATAGTCATGCCTCCAGTGACTACTTCAGAGGAGCCATCTGTAGGAAATGTTTAGAATGGCTGAGTCCTATGGGTTGCAGAGGGCTGGAGAACAGGGGTAGGACATGGGGGTGATTGCTAATGGGTAAGGGATTTCTTTTTGTTTATAATTTTATTTATGATCTGGACATCATAAATCTTGGTGAGTGGTGGCTTGAATTAAATTTAATTTTAGGCAAAGGGAGAGGATCATTTCTTGGTTTTGGTTTGTATGCATGTGTGACTTATTTGCTTTCTCATAAAATAAGGCAATAAGACTGGGCAATTAGACATTCTCACTCCCTTGCAAAGTAGCAGGGGCAATAGGGGGTTAGAACAAATGCCCTGTGAAAAGCTCATACCCCACAATCCTCTTTACCTGTGCCAACACCTGGGTACACCTCTGGGAGTATAACAATCAAGGGGAGACCTCTGCCGCCAAGGGGAAAAGGCTAAGACATCTTGAACCAAAGTGAGTGTGAAGAACTTAAAAAAAAAAAAAAAAAAAAGATTTAACCACCAGAGTCCTTGCTTTCATGAAGCTCACAATTTAGTTGGAGAAGCAGAATATCACAGGTAGGGTCCTTTCAAAATTGAGGGCAACTTTTCAGTAAAGTCTGTCCATTGACTGAAAACCTGTCTTTGGGGATGGGAATATAGCTCTGTGGTAGAATAAGTGCCTAGTATACATGAGGCCCTGGGTTCAATCCCCCCAGCAATACACACACACACACACACACACGAGACGGGAGAATAAAACATATTCTTTTCCAAGCACCAATCCAGGTACTTTAAATACTTAATAAAAAATCTTCCTGGCCGGGCGCATTGGTACACACCTGTAATCTCAGTGGCTTGGAGGCTGAAGCAGGAAGATCACAGGAAGCTCAAAGCCAGTCTCAGCAACTTAGCAAAGCCCTAAGCAACTTGGCAAGACTGTCTCAAAATAAAAAGGGCTGGGGATGTGGATCAGTGGTTGAATGCTCCTTGATTCAATTCCCAGTACCAAACAAACAAACCAAAAAAAAAAAAAAAAAGAAAGAAAGAAATTTCCTAACAACCATGTAGT